CTGTTTCTGAAGCATAAAGTGCTACATCTACTTCACTGTATGCTTTTGACAAACTAAAAAATGGTATACCTAAGGTTTGTAAATTTCACTGTCTGTGTTTTTTTACCTCAAACAAAAACAAAGAAAGGGAATAGGCTTTAATCTTTAAAATGCATTGTTGAACACTATAGCTTATAGTTTCCTTTCCATGCTTCCTCCCTCTCGGTTTCCCTACCTTCCCTGCTTGCCTTTTACCTTACTGCTTTTTTGTTTAGATTCCTGCTGTGTCAGATATTATTTTAGGGATTGGCAATTAATGCAGAGCTGAATAGAACAGAGTTCTTGTTCTGGGAACAAGTCCATAATGGGAGTCAGACATGCCACTAACAACTGTAGCCGCATGGTAAATGGCACAAGATGGAGGAGCTGCCCATTCCAAGAAGGTCAGGATGGGCTTCCTGGAAGAAATGATTGTGTTTTGGAAAAGGCTGGATGAGTAGGACTTGCTCCTTAGACACAGTGGAAGAACTGTCTGGAATAGGAGGACGGTGTGTGCAAAGTTTCAGAAGCTTGCAATGTGAGACCCTAAGTGCTGAAAGATGCTGCTATTGCAGGAGGTGGTGAGGTGGGGGTGGTCAGGAAGGGTCCTCGTGTGCTGTGGAATCTGGACTTCATCCTGAAGAGGAAGAGCATGGTGAAAGCCTTGTATCCTCTTGTCTTCCTGACTAGATTATAAATTCCTTGAAACCAGGTGTGTTATTTATCTGTGTGTTCTTTGTAATGCCTGGGCCTGGTCCTGGAGTGGGTAGGACTGTGAGTAGGTGTTGATGGAGCTCTGAAGGCTGTGCTAGTCTTGCATCCTTGGTTCAGCCACATTATTAAAACAGTGACTCAGAGCAGATCCTCTTTTGGAATGGAGGGGTGAGGATCTTCTTACATCTTAGGCATTGTGTCTCGGCACTTCCTGTATTAAGTTATTAGCTAACTTAATCTGTGTCTCTCTGCTTGCCCAGAATCCACCAGTGACCTCTGATCACTCTGAAGCTAAAGACCAAAGCAGAGTCGCTTCTCCAGCTGCCATTCAGTGGCTCCAGTGCTGTTCACCTGTTTACTCTCTGTTTATCTCTAACCTCTCACTTCACTTTCCTGGGAAAAGCTTCCCTGTCTCATTTTTGCTCAAAACTCAGCTTTCATTGTGTGTTCACCCCTCCATGAGTGTGATCATTTGATTTTCCTTCTGCCCTTCCTGAGATCATGATAGCTTTTTATCTCCCCAACTTATCACAGTGATTGTTATCATATGGTAGATACTCATCAAAAGTTGTTTTTGGTTGCATGAATGAATTCTTGAGATAATTGTCCAGAATGTATTACTGCTTTGTCTTCTGATGAAGAAGTTGAAATTCAGAGGTTAAGTCACTTGTCCAAGGTTGCACAAAAAATGAGAGCCAGACCTAGAAGTCAGGACTGTATGCCAACAACAGCTTCCTCTTTCTCCTCACACACTTTGTAGATGGTGATTCTTTGTGTCTGCCTCAGTGATGTGATTCTACCTGCCTTTTGGTTAGTTGACAGAATCAGCAGTGTAGTGGTTAAGAACATGGGCTCTATGTCCAATTTAGACTCCAGTTCTTGCTCCCCTATGTATAGTAACTTTGTTGCCTTGAGCAAGCTACTTAGTCTATGATTGTTTCTGGAAAATGGTCTAATATTACCCCCATTATAGGATTGTTAGGAAGATTGAGATAAATGAATCTGTTTAAAACTCTACTGTTAGCATACAGAAGATGCACAGTATTTGTTAGAACTTATCGGAATGCATTCATTCCTTTCCATTTTCTTCCTCCTTCCCCCACCCCCACTCCAGCTCCCTCTCTCCTGCTCTCCTTTCCCTCTCTTCCTCCCTTTTTCTTTCTTTTTCTAGGGATTGAATACAGGATGTCATACCTGCTTGGCAAACCCTCTACCACTGAGCTACACTTCCAGCTTCATGTTCCTTCCCATTTTCCTACTGTAATCCAAAATTGTATCCAGAGATCCTATAGTAATTTTTACTCTTTTTCACTCTATTGAAAGTCTGTTTTCCTGAAACCATCTATCCCTAAGTCCTAGTTGATCTGTGGTCTCTCAATTTAAAATTGTTTATTTCTGTCTCTCCACAGAAGTTATCTACATCTAACAGCAAGATCGAGTACTATTAATGCCCTTTGCTTTGAATTTCTAGGTTTTAGGAGTCACACATTTCTTCACACCTGTGCTCAGCAGAAACTGTGCTATTGTATAGTAAAGGATGTGCTATTAATAGTGCTGTTCTGTCTCTCACAAATCAAACACCTTTTCCCTAAGCTAAGCAACATATTAGTGAGTTATTTGATTAATTGACTTGATTGTTAGAAAGTGATTTATGTCACCTTTATTTCCCCCATTTTTCAATAGATGAGAGCAGGTGTACAGGAAATTTAAAAAGGAAGAAAGGCAGGAAAATAAGTACTTCACATGTACAATAGTAGCATGCTAACATTCTAACATTTTAAACATATTCCCTCATAATAGAATTTTCTATAAAAATCTTTCATTCCTTCCCCAGTTGTTCATTGTTGAAATCCTTACTAGCTAGGTGTTTTTTGGGGGGGAGGTGGGAGATTGTGGCTGAGGTATAATTGTGTGAATGTGTGCATGTTTCAGTGACTCTTAAAAGAAAATAGCAACTGATTTGTATTCAGATAATGAGAAAAATAATAATGCAGTTGCCACCTGTGCCAGACATTACTACATATTTAGTTGATGATGCCAGTCTTTGCAAGAGAATGATAAGTCCATTGTGGAGTTAGATACTTAATGAGGCTCTGAATTTCCCTGGGGAAGCTGGCATGCAGTAGGCTCTGGAGATGCAGGTGTTAATGAGATAGGGTGTAAGGGGTAGCTAGAAGTAGGCTTGGCAAAGTAAGTTGGGTTAGTGGAAGACCTCAAGAGGCCTGCTGAGAAATGGCTAATTAATTTTTCAGGCGATGTAGAAGTAATGAAGTTTTTGGAACCCGGAGCTCAAAACAGCACAGGTGCTTTATTGTCAAGGCAGTAATTTTAAAATATGGTCTCTGGACAAACATCATCAACGGTACCCTCAAAACTTAATAGAAGTACCTCCCCCAACCTGGTCAGTGCTAACCACTGGGCACTTGGTAATTTACGAAGCCTTCCTGGTGTTCTGGTGCTTGCTCAGGTTTGAGAACCACTGCATCAAGAGAATTCAGACTGTACTGAGTAGGAAAGACTGGGGCAGCACAAAGGAACCATGGGAGCCCATGCCAGAAGCCAAGGGAGAGGGTGCTAGGGCATAAATAAAGTTGGGTGGTTTAACTGGGAACATTACAAAAGGAAAATCAAGAAAGGTTCAAGGAAGGTGTAACAGGAGCGCTAAATGATGGTTGTCGTATAAGACACAGAGCCAGTGTTCTTTGTGTGCATGTCCACAGGGTAGCAGAACTGCAGAGGCTCACAGAAGCCCTTCAAGGAGAAGGTCTACTCCTCAGGGTCTGAAATCCTTTCATACCTTAATTTATAGCTTTTGTGTTTTACCCACACCCAACCATCTACCGCCCTCAACTAGATAACTTTCTCAGCGGGAGTGAAAATGTACCAGATGCTCAATACCAATAATAACAATGACTGTAAATTGAGTTCTTATTAAATGAAAGCTTCTCTCTAAGCACTTTATAATCGTTATCTTATTGTTGTCATTCATTAGTTATGAATGTCTGAAAATTACCTTCCTTGAGTGTAGAGTCTAAGCTGTACACCACTGTAGAATTAATGTTTCTAAACACTGATCTGAGAGGCTGTGTCTGGACCCTGGAATCAGACAGGTCTGGGCTTAAAACCTGGCCTCATGATTTAACAGGTACATAGTCCTGAGCAAGTGACTTAGCGAATCTTAGCCTAAATTTCCCCAGTTCGATTACAATTTGGATTGTTATTACATTGAGGATGTAATAATGAGTGAGGCTAACAGGGTCAGTGTGAGAACTAAATGCAAAAATGCCTGCATGTAAAATATTAGGAAATATAAGTTGGGGTTTATGGTGGTGACAGTGTCACACTCTTGCTCAAAACATTACTGATGCATCTCATTCAAGAGAGTAAACTCCTTGGTTTGGCACTTAGCTCTCTACCAACTTGTCATGCCTCACCTCTCAAACCTGATACAAACCTGATCCTATGTATAATTTCAGGTGAGCTGGCCATGGTGCCCCTGATGCACCAGGTCTCTTACCATCACCTGGCCTTTGTTTCCCCTGCTCTGTTAGTCAGCTTGTTGTCATTATAACAAAACAGTGGAGGTGATTAACTTATAAATAGAAAAGGGTTATTTTGGCTCACAGTTTTGGAGGTTCCAGTTCATGGTCTGTTGGACCTATTTTGGAATCTGTGGTGAGACAGCATCATGGCAGGAATGTGTCGCAGAGCAGAGCCACTCACCCTGTAGCCAGGAAACAGAAAGAGGGAGCAGGGCCTCCGAGTTTCCCATGGGGCCGTGGTGTGGGCAACCTGATGACCATTCCCTGGCCTCACCTCCCAGCAGCTCTCTCACCCCTCATAGAGCCCTTCTGGGGAACGCAGCCTTTAGCACAGGGATGTTCTGGATCATTCAGCACCCAAGCTGCAGCAGTTGCTCCCCTTCACATTGTGTCCAGGTCCCCCAGGCCCCAGCCTGAGAGTGCTTGTGAAGCCACGGCCAGTGAGCCTTCACCTTTAACATGATTAATCCTACACTTCTGTGGTGTGACTGCCTTTCCTGCTCAGTGGACCCTACACAGCCACCGACGGTAGCTCTGTCCCAGCGGGGCCCACATTCCCCTGGGCTTCAGCATTTTCAGGGCCATGCTGTGTTACATAGCCTTGGTCTTCTTTGGGTTCATTTAAGTATGTGTTGGTATTTTTTTCTTCTGATGATGATACTGATCACATTCTCTATAGGAATAACATTTAATCTATGAAGTACTAATTAGTTTCTTTCTTTTCAGGATGAACTTGACCTCACAGACAAACACAGGGAAGCCATGTTTGCACTTCCAGCTGAGAAAAAGTGGCAAATATACTGTAGCAAGAAAAAGGTGAGATATTCATCATGATTGTTATTGACTGGAAAATTATGGTTCTTGATTCCCTTTTCACCACCAGCACTCAGCTCTTTATTATGTATAAACCAGATTGAAAGTGACTTGTAGCCTTGTTATTATATGTGGCAAAGCCTTGGCCCTTGGCTATTGCTTCCTTGGATGTTGTTTCGTTGGGCTCCTTGGCATCTGTAACTATTATTAGTCGTTATGTGTGACTGAGACCCAAAATAACATTGACTTGCAGGAGATAGAGGCGCCCCCAGCCCTCTTTGACCATCTGCTAATATCTTTACATTTGGGGATCTCTAAGGTGTGGCCTTGTCCTCATGGCCTGAAATGTTTCTCCCACCATTTCGCATTATGAACTAAGGATAGAGAAAAGGGAGAGAGAGCACAAACCCCCACCTGCACTTCTCAGGAATCATGTATGTGACATCCCCTCCCATCACACTGTTGGGCGTGTAGCTACACCCCTCTGCAAGTCACCGTCTTTATTCTGGTGATCACTTAAAAGTTGTAGATCATTTACGTCAGAAGAGGGGGAGAATGCGTATGGGGTCAGAGAAAATAGTGGAAGCTCTTTCTCCCTAACATCCGTGCTGCTAGGCATCACTCTGTGTGTTGCATCTCTAAAAAGAAAGGTCACTCTGCCATCTCTTAAACCCCTTGGCAGATTCTTAGACCATCCTCACACCATTTGTTTTTTTTTGTACTAATCCTGTTCATACCCACCTTTCACCAGTTTCCCCTTGTTTCCCAGAGAGACTTGAAGTGAGATAGGTACACTGGAAGGGCAGACTTCAGAGAAATGCTGCCTCTCCCCAACAGGCAGCATACACTCTGATTAATCACTGCGGGCCTGGGAAAGCAGCAGCAAATGATAATAACCCCGTATGTTTGTAAGATACAGAATTAGTCAGGGGAACCTCTTTGGTGACAGTATGTACTTTGGTACCTCCGTTCGCCCACATAGCTCTCTCCATGCTTCTGCCCACTCTGGGCCAAGTCTGTCACCAGGAGCACCTTCTGCTCTTCAGTGAAGGTGCTCTGGTGAGCCTGTGCACATTTTCTCTGCCTGTCCTTAGGCCCCTGGCTCTTAGGCAGTGCATTTGACTCATCTTTGCAACTCCAGCATCTGGTATTTTGAAATGAATGTATGCTGACTGTTTGTCAGTAGTGTTATAAAGAATACTGTCCAAAAAGGTTAAAGCATATTTAATTTTCCATCTGAGCAGTGGTGATTAGTAAAAGTGTGGGTCATGATGATTTGGCTCCAGTGGCCTCTGCTAAGAGCTGTGCCCAGCTGTAATCTCTCAGAATGGTCACTGAGCTGCTCTCTGGCCAGACTGAAGTCTTAAGGCTCCTTAACCAGTGGCCACCAGTATCAGTGTGTCGTCCTCTCTCTCTCTGGACATGTCTTACTAACCAGAAATGCTCTTTTCTTGAACAGATTGTCATGGCCCAAGAAACATACATAATAACTGGGAAGGAATTTTAAAGTGAAAATACAATGTGTTTGTTCAGTCCTGACACTAATGGTACCGCATGGTCTTTGGAAGCAAGGGCTCTTCCACTAGGACTGAGAAAAATCCTCCAGTGCCTGAGTATACAAAGGACACTGTCTATTTTGGCTCATCCCAATGCAGATTTTTTTTTCCCTAAAATTAAGAAATAACGTAAAGTAGGGATTGAGAATATGCATTGGAGGAAAGGAAGGGGCATGAAAATGGGAGCAGCTTACTAGGGGGAAAGTTTTCTTCTTTCCCAGATTTTATTACACCCTTGACAGCAACTGAAAGTTAATCATAGAAACTACTACCCCTTACATTAGAGAAGGCGAACCCTGGAGAAGAGTAATGACCTCAGGCTTGCAGCTGCTACTCATTTTTCAATTTCCAGGCCAATCAGATCCCCTTGCAAGCCTGGTCTCAAGTGTACATAATGGGGTTGGCTTTTGGAGGAGGATGGATATGGATGTGGCCAGTGGCCTCAGAATCCGTTTTCAATGGATGGGCCCTTCTTGCTGATAGCCCAGATTGTGTAGATGTTGGGGAATGTACTTCTGCTAGCCTCATTCCAGCAGCTTGGATTCCTTACATGACTTAGCAATGGCATGGCTGAGTGGGAAAACCATTTTAACTCTTTAGGGAATCCCATGGACCTATCGTTCTGTCACTATGAATAGTAGCGTTTTTGACTGAAGATTTTCTTGATTAGAACTTCTCACTGTTAAAACCATCCATGCCTGTGGTCTGCAACTGAATTCATGGGGTACTGCAATAAATTGAGAAATGCATAATGAATAAAAGGACAGGAAAACCTAGCCAGGAAAGGGTATGATGTTTACCTCTGTAGATAATGTGGTGTCCTGGGGGAGAGGTTGTCCATTCTCAGGGCAGAGCGGCATGGTGGCCATCCTTGATATTAAGAAGAGATTATTTTCTTTGGAATATCACTTGCGTAGCTTTCTCAGATCAGGCTTATCACCAACAAGCCAAACCACATCCATTTCTCAGGCCGAGGGAAAGCTACACCCATGGCCCCTTCAAATTTTCCATCTTTCAAGATTAGAACCCAGGGCATTGCAGACATTCTCCCACATAGCGAAGCCGTAGAGTAAGGGTCCTCTGAAGCCGACAGAAACAGACGACAGGAGCTGGTGAAAGCAGGCTCTCTGTGTAAAGCTGAACAGAAGTCGCGCAAGCAAACAAGACTGGGGCCTGTGCGTGGGGCCAGGCTTTTCTCAGCCAACTGCCTCTTTCCATCCCACAGAGACTTGAGACCCAGCAGCTGCTATCTGCTTATCGATTCTGTGTTCATTTACAAAACTTCTGTATCTAAGGCTCTGGTTGAAAACTCAATCCCAGAGCCAAAATGAAAGCAGCAAAAGTATTTCTGGGGCTAACATTATTGGAAAGAAATTAATTGGAATTTTGCCTAATTGAGTAATCTAGGGGAGAGTCAGGGAGGGACGCTGTGGCCTTGCCGAAAGTCCAAATAAATCTGTAACAGTTACTGGACTGGTTGGACAGCCCTGGGTTTTCATAGACAGCAATCTGCTGTCAAATTTTTAAACTCTTACGAAAGATCCCAAAAAGGTTCTGTTGTTTGGGTTGGGAGTATTTTCAAATAGGAAATGTTTGTGGTTCTTATCTTTAAAGGTAATTCCCTTTTTAGTTCCAATCACAACATACTCTTTTGTTTAAATGAGGTTTTTCCCAGTCTCCAGCTAGAAACTGCATCTGTTAACAATCTTTTGGATTTTAAACTGACGCTTTTTAAACAAAGAACCATCTGACCACGAAAGGCATCTGGCCATACTGTATTTACTTATTGTTAACGTGTTTTTTAAATCCTGGGAAAAGTAAGGAGTAGGTCTTCAGAGAGGTGAAGATAAAGTAGTGCATGTAGTGCATTGTGTGGACAGCAGGCTTATCAGCACAGGAAGATACTTTCTTTAATTGCTCTTCTTCCCAGGAGCCAGTATATTAGTTTTGTCCCTTAACCAGTCCTATAAATATCCAGGAGATACTTTTACCCTTTCTTGGGCTTCAGAGTTTGCAGAGGAGGCGAATGGGTTATGGACACTGTTAGCTGTAGTGACCTGAGATATTTGAGGTAAAGGTCAGGATTTGGTGACTATGCCTAATTTTCCCTCCTTTATTTCTTACCTCTAAAGCCAAGTAAATAGTATTACATTCTTGATTTTATATTTCTGTATGTTTTGAGAGCTACTTTGGGGAAGATGAATTTCCACTACCCTGGTGAGTGTGTCTTTGATTCTAGCTAAATTAAATCACTCAAGAATCTTGCCTCTCTTGGCTGTAGTTCAGCTGTTATGTTTTTTGCAAACTGCTGGGTATATTTTGAAGGCATCTAGAAAAAGTGGCTGAAAATTAAGCTAGTATAGTTTTCATTAATTCTGCTTATTTGGTTTGTTTGTCCTAACTGGATCAGTTCCACACTGCTTCCACCAAAAGGGCTTCTTGGCCCTCGCACATGGGCACAGAGATGAAAGTTGCCTCGCATGGGCATCAGGCCGTGGTTCTTTCAGTTCCTTGAGTGTGGGGCCCTTCTGTGTTTGGAGTGTAGGAAGCCGGTAAAGTGATCAAAACACAATTTAAGGAACATATGCTGCAGCAGTGAAATTAAAGACAAAAGACCTTCAGTTTTCTACACAACCGTCAACAAACCAGCTAGAGAATGAAGAGGTGAGAGGAGACATTCATCCTCTAACTGTCCCCAGCACCTACTGAGAAGATACTGCAGTTGCGCTGGAAAGAGAGCAATGGCTGGCATTTGGCCTGAAGATTTGAGTGAACATAAGTTAGGTATCCTTTTCTTTCTCGTACTGTCTTTGCTTCAACACATGGTAGAGTGAGAACTGGTTTTATAGGTGTCTACTCAATTCTGCTAGATACCGAGAGTTTTTTCAGTGCTGGGAATCAAATCTAAGGTCTCACACATGCTAGGCAAATGCACGATCACTGAGCTACACCCCTACTACTAGTTCTTGACTTACCTGGTTTGGTCTCCTGCTGTAGAACTGTCAACCTGCAAATGAATTCAGATTGGCATTTGTCCTCTTAGATGATAAGGGCTTAAAGAAAGTGGCAGAAGCTATGATAGAAATGAGATTTGCCTGTCATCCCTCTGCCTTTCTAAGGAGTGTGTAAGGGGTGCCCAGTGGCCCCCAACCATGAGCCCCTCCATACTCTGCAGGCTCAGAAAAACTCCCTGTGTTACCTACATCATGCCTGCATTGTATATAATCCTTCATTTAAGCAGTAAAAAATAACAAGATTTGGGTATCTGGTGTTTCACTCAGCCAAGTGGTACAGTTGGTCAAGAGCAGGTTGGTGTGTGATGTACAAGTTGTGTACAGAATATCTTCTCTAGGGAAGACTCTTGGTCAGATTCTGAGGATGATTAAACAAATACGTCTATAATTTCTGGAGTAGATGGTTTTGGTAGGAGGAGCAATAAAACCAAAT